GTGAAGGTAAAAGGTAAGTAGACGTGGTGAGTATTAAAGCAAGCCTGAAATAGAAAGCCCGAAAACCATTGTTAAGGTGAAAAGGTCGGAAAGGAAATTTGTGGAAAAGGAATTGCTATTACCTGTCGTAGTAAGGGCACGAGCTTTTAACATTACCGTATCAAAAAGAGGAAAGATCTTGAAAAAAATAATTTCATGTGGTTATATAAACATGTAGTTATATGTGATTTTTATTTTACACACACAAACACACACATCATCATCATCATCAAGGTCCGTAGTCATTGGGCCGTAGGTGCACTCTTATGTTTTTACCCATGTCTTTCCACATATTTCTGTCAGCTGCCCTTCTTGTAGCGTCTACCATTGATAGATTTGTCCATTCCTGAATGTTAGACAGCCAGGTTTTCCTTGGTCTTCCCCGGCCTCTTTTTCCGGGTACTCTGCCATGCATTATGGTATTTGCAAGGCTTAGGGAACTGTGATTACAGGTGACGTGACCAAACCACTGTATCTTTCGCCTCTTTACAACCCACTGCAACATTTCTTGGTTCCCACAATTTTGTACAGTTTCTTCCTTGACGTTCTCATTAGTTCTATGGGCAGTGTAAGGAATGCGCAGAATTTTTCGGTAGAATTTCATTTCGAAAGCGTTGATTCTTTTCTCCGACTCAGCGTTGAGTGTCCACGATTCGCAGCCGTAGGTCATTGTGGCTAACACAATTGCTTTCATGCACCTTGTTTTTGTTTTGACTGTGATGCCACTGTTCTTCCATATCGTATCTAACTTAACTAAAGCAGCTGTTGCTATTGCTATACGACTTTTAATTTCGATTTGCGATTGTAGGTTGTAACTGATTTGGCTCCCAAAGTATTTAAAACAGCTTACTTGTTCCAGTTCTTGGTTCGAAACCGTTATAGGTTCATTCAACTGCACCTCTTCCTTAGCTGTCACCATCACCTTGTTTTTTTCTGAACTTATCTCCATACCATATTTCCGGGTAGTAGTGTCAAGCCTTTCAGTGAGATCTCATAGTTCATCTTCACATGACGCAATCAAATCAATATAGTCAGCAAAGCGCAAATTCGAAACTATACGTCCATTTACTTTAACACCTCCATGAAAGCTGTCTAAAGCTTCTGTCATAATGAACTCCAAGAAGAGGTTGAACAAGAATGGAGACAAAACACAGCCTTACCGGACGCCTACTTTGGATCTGAACCATTTGCTCAAATTTCCTCCAGCAAATACTAAACTCTTGGCGTGATCATAAAGCGACATAATGGTTTTAATGATGTTGTTACTACTAATATATTTCCGCATAACTGTCCAGAGAGCTTTGTGCCATACTCTGTCAAAGGCTTTCTTGAAATCGATAGAATTATGATACAGAGGTTTCTGGTGTTCTTGGTATTTCTCAGAAAGTATCCTAAGGTTACAAATTTGCTCTGTAGTGCTTCGTCCCTCTTGAAGTCTAGCTTGTGCATCGTCCAGTTCTCTTTTAATCGTTGGTTTCATTCGATTAAGCATGACATACAGTAAAACCTTACTCGGGTGGCTTATGAGACTAATTGTTCTGTTGTTTTCACATTTCCTTATGTTGCCTTTCTTTGGAAGTGGTATGACTACTGACTCTGTCCATTTCGTTGGCCATTCACCAGTTGCGAGTGTCCTATTGCAGATCTTTAGTAGCATATCAATCATTTTGTCACCACCGCTTTTCATCAGCTCCGCAGAGATGTTGTCTGTTCCGGGTGCTTTATTGCATTTAAGCTTCTTTAGAGCCTCTTCTATTTCACTTCGGACTACCGGTGACTCTTCGATTTCTGGTGGTGGTAGATCGATTTCGTCAAGACATGTCTCTGAAGTGTTGGCCTTATGATTGTAAAGTTCTTCACATTACTGTCTTCATCTTTCAGTAACCTTCTCACGCTTTGTTAGGAGTTTTCCTTGTTTATCTTCTGCCACTGAACATTTGGGTTTCCATTCTGATGTCAGCTGTTTCACGGTATCGAATGCGGCTTTTACATCGTTGCGTTGATAACAATCCTCAATACTAGAGCATTGTCGATTGATCCATGCCTCTTTTGCCGATGCAATTTCTCTGTTCAATTTATTGTTTGCCTCTCGGTACTTCTCAGCAGCCTCCTCATTGTCAAAGCGATATTTCTTCAGTTCTCGTCTCTTGTCATATTCTGTTAGGACTTCAGCTGTAATCCAAGGTTTTCTGATGTTTCTTTTCTTTCCAAGGTGTTTAGTCGCAGCACATACACACATGCATGTATATACATATATGTGTATGTGTGCATACATACACATGTACACACACACACACACCGACACAGAAATAAAATACGGATTTATATAACAGTATGGTACTGCTTTTCTCCTGAAATATTCTCTCTCATATATAAACTGCAAAGAGAAAACATAATGAGATCGTGAGCTGGAGTTTTTAACAGTACTTATTTGCCCAAGAGGATGCAGATCTTGTGACAT